TAATTCTGAGCTTATTTTACAGCACCAGCCAGTCATACATCGGCACCAGGCCGGGAAAACGAGATTTTTGAACTGGAGCGAATGGATCACACATTGTCGGTTTCGATTAGGAACATTCACTTATACGGTAATGGCGAACGCTGATCCACTTTGATCGAACGACAGAATGAAGTTCGATTTGGCCAGCAACTAGCGACAAAATCCTGGGGTTGGAGTATAGCTACCGGACGACGTCAAAGTGGCCTCTAAGGAATTCTCCCTCTTATCATCATACCCATGCGGTTGAGGGAGGAACGATTGCGGTGTGTGCTGTACAAGTTGGCTTAGCTATAAACTAAATCAAGCGCAATTCGCCATCTAGGCGTCGCTGGCGACTGTAATGTCATGTTGGAATACAACGATAGCCTCGCTTAGGTGAGAATTTCTGTCGGTACCAGCAGCTAAGCATTCAAAGCATAAGGGTTTGCTATAGCTACAGGGACCTCACCTCGAAAAGAAGCGGCCACATCTCCGGAGGCTGGTGTGTGCCTCGTTCTCGGGATGGCGCGAACAATGTCCGCGAGTATTCTATTTGGAGGTGCTGCTGTATATTTTATAAAGGATGCACCCTCATACATCCCCATCGTTGCTTTTCATTCAGTATCGAAAAGGAGAGACAATCCGGCTTTCGAGAACAAAAATTGATTAAAAGATCACACGCTCGAGACAAACCTAGCTGTTGACAATTGTAGAGTTATTCGGAGGGGTTTGAATAATTCAATTAACGCAATTGTGAAAAAGCAATGGCCTCAGTGGGGTGAATACCGATAACTGCAAAAAATGTGTCAGCCAGAATTCGGGCCTTGGTGGACACCAAAAGGTGGAATAGTGTTACATTTCCTGCACAGCCTACTACTGCAAAGGGGAGTTTGAGGACGAACAAGGACTCCTGTTTAAATAGCAGTCCTACTGACAAAATACACCTAACCAACTTGAGTATGCACGACAGTTCGACCGTCGTTTCCGACTACGTCCACAGCGTGGTGGCGCAAGGACGACGATTTGTGCATGAAATTGTTTAAAGTACAGTAGCCGCCAAAGACCATGCAACCTTCATGATGAAATTAGACTAGGTACTTTAGCGTACATTTAGTAACACTGTTTTGATTCATTTAGTTTATTGAATGCTGCGAAAGCCG